TTTTTGGGCCGATTTCTCTCAATTTTGGGGGTTTTCTCCCCCCATTTTTGGGGTCCCTCCCCCAGCCCCATTCCTGGGCTGACCCCACTCTCTCCCGGGGGGTCTCTCACCCATTTTTGGGGGGTCTCCCCCCTTTTTGGGGGTCTCCCCTCACTTCCCATTTTTGGGCTGATTTCTCTCGATTTTTGGGGTTTTCTCCCCCATTTTTGGGGGGGTCTCCCTCCCTTTTTGGGGTCTCTCTCCCCCCACTTCCCTCCCTATTTTGGGGCTGATTTCTCTCTAATTTTGGGGGGTTCTCCCTCCTGTTTTTGGGCTGAATCCTCATTATTGTGGGCCTCCCCCACTCCTTTATTCCCCTTTTTCCCCCTTTTTTCCCCCTTTTCCCCCCATTTTTGGAGTTTTCTCCTCCATTTTTGGGGCTGAATCCTCTTTATTTTGGGCATCTCCCCCTCCCCTTTATTCCCCTTTTTCCCCCCTTTTTGGGGGTTTCTCCCCCATTTTTGGGGGTCCCTCCCCCACACCCTTTCCTGGGCTTTCCCTCCCTATTTTTGGGGTCTCCCTTTCTTCTCCTCCCCATTTTTGGGGGTCTTCCCCCTTTTTTGGGGTCTCCCCTCACTTCCCTTTTTTGGGCTGATTTCTCTCAATTTTTGTGGCTTTCTCCCCCATTTTTGGGGTCCCTCCCCCAGCCCCATTCCCGGGCTGACCCCACTCTCTCCCAGGGGGTCTCTCACCCATTTTTGGGGGGTCTCCCCCCTTTTTTGGGGTCTCCCCTCACTTCCCATTTTTGGGCTGATTTCTCTCAATTTTGGGGGGTTTTTCTCCCCAGTTTTTGGTGTTTTCCCCCCCATTTTTGGGGTCCCTCCCCCAGCCCCTTTCCCGGGCTGACCCCTCTCTATTTTTGGGGGGTCTCCCCCCCCATTTTTGGGGGTCTCTCCCCCATTTTTGGGGTCTCTCCCCCCCATTTTTGGGGTCTCTCCCCCCGTTTTTCCCCCCCAGACGTGGAGGATCTGCTCCGGTTCCTGCGGCCGCTCCACGAGGGCACCTTGGTGCTCGTCGCCTCCTACGACGACCCCGCCACCAAGTGAGACCCGGGGGGGATTGGGGGGGATTTTGGGGGGGTTGGGGGTCGTTTTAGGGGGCTTGGGGTGGTTTGGGGGCAATTTAGGGGGCTGGGGGTCATTTGAGGGCAATCTGGGGTCATTTTGGGGGGTTTATGGGGTGATTTGGGGGAACTGGGGGCCGATTTGAGGGCCCTTGGAGGGGGCTGGGGGTGATTTGGGGGTGATTTTGGGGGGTTGGGGGCCGTTTTAGGGGGGGTGGGGGTGGTTTGGGGGCGATTTGGGGGGGCTGGGAGTGGTTTTTAGGCGATTTGGGGGTGATTTGAGGTGGTTTGGGGATGATTTTGGGGGGGTTGGGGGCGATTTTAGGGGCTCAGGGGTGATTTGGGGGAGGTTGGGGTCGTTTGGGGGGGGCCTGGGGGGTGATTTGGGGATCCTGGGGGGGAATTTGGGGTCCTCCTGACCCCCCCGTGCCCCCCCAGGCTGACGGAGGAGTCTCGTCGGCTGTTCTGGGAGCTGGGCAGCGCCGTGGCCAAAGATTTGGGGTTCCGGGACAGTTGGGTCTTCGTGGGGGCCAAAGGGGTGCAGGACAGGAGCCCCTTCGAGCAGGTGGGGACC